TTTTCACTTTCTTGGTTAGGTTAATTCCTAGGTTTTAAATTTTTCTTGGGAATAGTGTTGCTTTTCTAATTTCTTTCTCAGTGAATGTTGATTTTGTATCCTGCTACCTGGCTGAATTTGTTTATTAGTTCTAGGAAACTATTGGTGAAATTTTGCGGGCCTTCTATGTAGACAATCATGTCATTTGCCAGTAATGATTATTTGACTTCTTCTTTCCTGTGTATATCCCTTTTATTTCTTTATCTTGCCTGATTTCTCTGACTAATCTTTTAAGGACTATGTTGAACAAAAGTGGTGACAGGGGCCATCATTGTCTTATTCCTGATTTTAGAGGAAAAGCTTTAAGTTTTTCTGCATTGAATAGAATATTGGGTAGTGTTTTTTCATAAATGGATTTTATCAGATTCTGGTAAAGTCTTTCTGTACCTATTTCCTTCAGAGATTTTACTGTGAATGGGTGTTAAATCTTGTCAAAAGCATTTTCTGTATCTATTGATATAATCATATAGTTTTTGTTCTTGCTTCTGTTTATGTGGTGTATAACATTTATTGATTTACATGTGTTGAACCATCTTCACAACACTGAGATGAAATCTACTTGTTCCTGATATATTGCCCTTTCAATAATTTGTTGCATTCTAATTGCCAATATCTTATTGAGGATCTTTGCATCTATGTTCGCTGAGGAGATTGGCTTGAAGTTTTCACTTTTAGTTGGGTCTTTGTCTTGTTTGAGAATCAGAGGGATACTGATTCCTAGCAATGAATTTTGAAGCACTTATTTCCTTTCAATTTTATCGAAGAGATTCAGGAATATAGCTATTATAACTTCCTTAAAGATCTTGTGGGGCTGGGGATATAGCTCAGTGGCATAAGCGCTTGCTTGGCAAGCCCAAGGTCATGAGTTCAATCCCCAGTACTGAAAAAAAAAAAAAAAAAGATCTTGTAGAATTCAGTAATGAATTTATCAGGTTCTGGGCATTTCTTAATTTGCAGGGTTTTTTTTACTTATTGCCTCAATTTCATTACTTGTTATTGATTTTTCAGAATTTTTATGTCTTCTTGGTTTAGTTTTGGTAATTTGTATTAGTCTAGGTATCTGTCCATTTCTTCAAGACTATTCAATTTGTTCAAATACAACTTTTATGGTAGTTATTCTCTTCTGAATTTTGATGATATCTGTTGTGATTTCATTTTTAGTTCCACTGATGTATTTTATGTCTTTCTTTGCCTAAGTTTGGCTAAGGGTTTTTCTATTTTGTTTATTATTTTAAAGAATCAGCTCTTCAGTTCATAGATACTTTGCATTGCTTTTTAATCTCAGTTTCACTAATTTCCCCTCTGATCTTTATGATTTTCTTCCTTAAATTTTGTTTGAGTTTAGACTGTTGTTAATTTTTTAGTATCTGGAGATTCATCATTAGGCTTTTTTTTTTAAAGCTCACTCCACTTTTCTAATGTGTGTACTGATTAAAATAAGCATCCCTCTTAGGACTGCTTTCATTGTGTCACATAGGTCCTGGTGTGTTGTATTGTCATTGTCACTTGACTCCAAAAATTGTTTAATTTTTTTCTTTATTTTTTCTGTGACCCATTGGGTGCTCAGGAGTGTGTTAATAACTTTCCAGGTGTTTATAAATTTTCAGTGCTTTTTCTGTGATTGATTTGTAGTTTTATTGCATAATGGACTGATGGTAAACACAGGATGATTGGTTTTTTTTTGTATTTACTGATGCAGGTTTTGTGTACTAGCATGTGGTCTATTTTGGAGAATATTTTGTGGGGCTAAGAAGAATGCATATCCTGTTGTAGTGGGGTAGAACACTCTGAACATATCTATTCAATCCATTTGTTAAGAGGTGTGGTTCAGCTTTGACAGTTCTTTGTTGGATTTTTGTTTAGTTTATCTGTCTCCTTGTGAAAGTGGAGTATTAGGTTCATGCACTACATTTTTGTTGTTATTTACTTGATTTTTTATGTCTAGCAGTATTGGATTCTGATTTTATAATTTCTCAAACCTTTTTTTGTTTTTTGAACCATTATTTACACATAATGAGTATTGTAGTCAGGGTTTTCAAGGGAAAAGATTTAAACAGAACGCATAACTTATAGGATTATTTTATAATCACCCAAAGAGTCAAATGCAAGAGTGCAGGAGATCTGTCCACACACTAGAGACCCAAAGAATCCAGTTGAGGGCCTGGATCCCACAGCAATGTCCTGCACAAGTCCAACTGAAGGCCTGGAGCCCTGACAATGTCTCATGCAAGTCTGTATCAAGGATCTGCACTAGGAAAGCCCAACAGTCAGTGGTGGAAGCTAGAAAGTCTGTGCCAGCTGATTGAAGGATCTGTGCCAGCAGGCTGAGGGATCTGCATCAGAACCAGGAAGTGACACTCAAGGTAGGGAACAGAGCTGCCCTGAAAAGAACCACAGCCATCCTCAGTGACAGCAAGGACTTTAGTCTCTCCAGTGATGAGAACAACTGAGTTCTTATCAGGAACACCAGCATGACAGACTTCTCCAGGAAAATCAATAGCACACCATCTTCCCCTCCAGTTCTCCTTTTGTGCTGTTGGCAACAATCCTTAGGTGGGCCTTCCACACCTGGAACCACACTGATTCAGTTCAGCTGGGAGTTACAAAATGACAAATAGTTAATACAACACAATGAGAGATAGATGAAGAGGGAAAGGGAGAGGGAGAGGGAGAGGGAGAGAGAGAAGGAGAGGGAGAGAGAGAAGGAGAGGGAAAAGCATATGTAGGGGGGAGTCTTTGGTGAGGGGAATCCAGAATTACTCCAGTAACCTATGCCCCTTTGTTCTAGTTTCTCATGGGAAGAATTTCTCCATTATGACTATTTTCAGGAGCTTCAGAGTAACAGTGTTACATGGCCGCGAAAAAATGCACGTGAAATAGTCATCCCATATTTTGAAAGTAGAACATTTAGCCAAGAAACTGTAAAATACAATTGCAAGGTAATCTTGCTATAGTTTAAAATGTTTGAATTACTATCCATGGAATGGTACAATGGAAAGAACACAGACCTTAGACACAAGCTATATTTATATTCACATCTCAGTTTAGAAATTTTTGATCTTCGATGAATACCTTCACTTCTGAGTATTCCAGTTACTATTCTTAAAGATGGTGACAGGAGTTGTAGTTGTAGTGATTACCCATTGAGACTATTGAGATTGAGGACCGGGCTTTGCTAGTCTTTTCACAGTGGTAGCTATTATTAGATAGTTTCTATGTTCATTGTCACTGTGAAACTCCTACAAAGCCAATAGCTATGTACAAAATATATTCTACAAAGGTCAGGAACATGTCACTGATGTGGGATTTCACTGTTTTTACTCTCGTTGTTGGAACACAGCATAGAAACTGAAAGAAATAAACAATGGCTCTTGGTAGCAAAATGGATTCCACAAATATTTATATGAAGTTTTGAGAACTTGAATCTTAGAGTCACTTGAAAGCCTCCATAAAGCCAAATTGGCCTGGATTTTATGGCAGTGGTAAGAGCAGAACTGGACAAGGTAATGACATAGTCAGATATGCTGCCCAGTGAAAGTGACAGATTAGGATCAGAGAAGTGGTTCATGGCAGACTCAGGAACTTAACAGTATAGCACTTGAGAGCTTTATTCTGGGATACACAGCTACACACCCCAATTAATTGTGAAGATTCAGTTGTATCAAATCATACTCATTAAAAAGTACATCTTTTGTAGTTGAAAAGGTAATAATGACTAAATATTTTCACAAAAGTTGATTAAAATACACATCACTGTTTAAATATGTGGTTATACGTAAAATAACTTTTCAATTACTTTTTCTGTATTTTAATGAATAGCCAAAATATCACTGTATTTAGTACCCAAAGGCTCATTATAAACAGAAATTTTAACACAGAAGTCTGGGCTGAGATGAATAAATACATTTAAATATAACTTGAAGTAAGGAAGGTTCACAATAAGTGAGATATTGTTCTTATGTGCTCATGGAAACCACAGTAAACAAATAGAGCCAGGTTACCTGTCCTGCCTTTGACTGAAGGCTTAAGCATGCATGGAGTCCATTGTGCAATATTTTCCACTAGACTCTCTACTTGAATTATTCCAATTTGTTTAGATTTGAAGAAATGAAAAAGATGAACACTGACTTTTACAAGTTGTAAACCACTTTAAGGGGAAAACACTTCAGTTGTTGCCTGTGTATCTCGGTAAATGATATGCTCTTTTAGAGCCATGGAACAGATCCTAATTCCTGTTAAGCTCTTGTTTATAGAGACACAGGCACAATGAGGGGGCTTGGCCCATCCCCCCAACACCCCGCCAACTTTGCTGCTATCCACTTGGCATACGTGCAACTCTCCTCAGCAATAAAACCACAAGATATTTTGCCAAAGTTCTCAAAAAGCAGCAAACTGTCCATGCACCCTCTGCAATGCATAGTTTGTGGATGACATGTGTAGCTAAGTTCTTTTGGGTCAACATTCCTCCTTTATTATGTGGGGGGCCCTCGTCAGTCTGCAAACAGTCATGCCACTGCTGTGACTGCTAACCCGAGACACTGCAGGGCCAGATCCAAGAAGTCTGTTTATATGGAAAGTGACCAGTCACTTTTATTCTTGTTCTCATCATAATGCTAACAAAATAACAATGAAGAATCAAGTCATGCATGTTGATTTAATGCTACAACAGAGCTGATTACTCATCCATATTTTACGGATTTCTTGAATAAATTATAGGGATTTTGAGTGTATATGGGAACTAAGGGGCTTGGTTGTGAGCAGGGCAAGGAAGTTATACTAGAGTTACTTGGGGGTTTATTCAAAGTATTCTTTCACATGGCTATGTCTTCTCCAGTTCACTTGAATACACCCTTGTGGTGAACCTTTTGTAGATCTTTCCTATGGCTGAGACTTTTAGGCTGATGTTATAGTTTAGAAATGAAGCACATAAGTTTATCACATTCTTTCTTTTATTCCTCTAGGATACTGTTGCATATCTTTATGAGAAGAAAGTGAAAAAACAACACTATTCTGTCCACTATATGTGACTTTGAACAAGAAAACATTATCCCCAGCCTCACTTTCTGCATTGATGTTATATGGGGAGAATAAAATCTTTTCTGCTTGTACTGACATAGTAATAGTAAAATGGCTAATTAGATTCAGAGTGACTAAGAAAGAAGATTGAGGTCTTCAACTAGAGATCAAATTTGATAAACCAAGAGGATTTGACTGAATGTAATCTGGGCTAGACACCATGAGGAACAATGACATGTACAATCCTCCCTTGCTCCTGTATGCTTTCAGAGGTAAAATGTGTGAAACAATCAGCAAATAAAACATAGTTGTCGTACCAAGTTAGTACTAAAAATCTGGGTCAAAAATGGGGAATAATTGTAGTAGGACGCCATAAACAAAAAGTCAAGAGAAGGCAGGGAGCATCACGGATGAGAGTTATGAAAGAGGTATGACCAGGGTTAGGTCTTCAGAGAGCAGGGTGGGAAAAGGGAATATATTTCCAGGAACTGCACTGGTGCAGGTTCCAGGGTGAGTTGAGAGTTCTATGTAATCCTCACATTATGCTAAAACTCAGAGACAGCTCTTTATACAAAAAAAAAAAAAAAAAGAAAAGAAAATGCTCATAGCTGCATTGTGCAGAGGATAACTTTGTGCAAGGGTTACAGAACAAGTAAGATAATTTATATTTCTGGAGGAAGTATCATCTGAGGACAAGGGTCGGGATCCTGTGCTATAATTTCCAGAGCATCCAGCACAGTTATAAATACATCAGGAGAAAATGAGCTCCCATGGATGAATGGACTGGAAACATGGGGTTTTCTGCTAAGGTTCATAGGTGGGGGAAGGTGATAGACCTGGAATAAGGAGCTGGAGAATGGTACTATGGAGAAAGGAAGTGGGGATCGTCATGAACAACAGCTCTCCTGATTTGCTTCCCCAAGGCAAGTTCTCCATTATGTAGCCCTGAAGCACTCACTTTGAAAACTGGGAAATCTGTACCTCTCCTGCTTTTCCATTCCCCTAACCCTAACTGCATTTCCTTAAACGTTGACAGAAGTTGAGGCTGGGCTGGCGTGATTAATACCCACCTGTCTGGAGTGCACCTCCATCACTCCACGGTCTTCCCATTTTTCTTAGATGCTGAGAAAATGCTTTTCACAGCTGTGATGACACAGCCAGAAATATCACCTTTTGAAGACATCATAACCGTGAGATATGACACTCTTTTGGCCGTTAGAAGGTTATTTGCTGTAGCTATTAAATACAGCCCTGTCACTCCCACTCACCTGAGCCATATTTCCTCCTTCAATAGATTATCCATAAATATAGGCTCAGGTACAAATAGAAATAATGAGCATTCACAGCTGAAGAAGACATGCACAGCCAACTCCTGCTGAAGGGCAAGAAAACAGTCCCTCCCTACAGCAGTCCTTCCCTGCGGGCTCAGCAGGAACCAGAGGCCAGGTGCCCTTGAGGGTCCTGGGGGCTCAAGAAAATGACTCCACTAGCCCAGTAATGCAGACCCATGCCTCCTGAATTCCAAGGGTGTTCCAGATTACCCACTTGCTCACCCAATTTACTTTGCTGTCTCTTGAAAATTAGAATGAGTTATTAGTTGTACCTTATACCCAGTGTAATTCCAGCTCATGTTAATGTAGTTATTAATGCACTGTATTTGTAAAGATGTTATAATTTCCAAATTACTAAATAGGCATCTCATATACTTATTTAATCTAAATAATTTTATAGATTCTAATCTGATGTTTTATTGAATGTCTTCTGTGTGCACATCACTGTCTTAGGAACTGGCAAAATATAAAAAATATAGATGATATAAAAACAATTTAGCAAGAAACTAGGGGCCAAACTTTTACCTTCATGCAAGAGTAAAGGAACAATTCTCTAATTAAATGAGATTGTGTAGCAATCTGTACTTTTTGCAGAGAAAAGTGCTCAGCAATTCCTTGAGATTGATAGGACTTACTTAGGCTCTGGGCAAGGGAGAACTTCAAAGGCTTTTTTTTTCTCATTTCTAAAATATGGGATATTGGAGGATTTGAGTAGTAGAAGAAAAAGGCAGGGATATCCCTGACATACAGTATATGGAAATACTTGCTGGAAAGTAATATAAAAACTGAATTCTAAAATTGCTCTTGAGACATCAAACATTGATAGAAATAGCCAGGGAAAATAAAGCATGGAAAATAATTGGCAGATTTGAATGCACTTGTAATTCCCAAGGATGATCTACAAATCCAGAGATTTCCCTTATTCACAAGTGCTTATGTCCTGGATCCTTAAAAATATTCTTGACCCAGTGAAATAAAATCCACGGGAAAAACAGTGGAATTCATGGGACTTAATATCATTTCATGGCTTAAAATACATCTGTCTACCACAGAGAAAAAAAAAAAAAAACATTAGCCCATCTACAAGTTAGGTTTTTGCCTACTTGGTTAATTCACAAAGTTGATGTATTTGGTTAGTCAGAATGACGTTCTACACAATCTCATTGACCATAAAGGATTTTTTTCACATATTAATTTCAAAAGTTCATAACTTCATTAGTTAAATATTGTTATGTAGAAATAGCTCTGCTTTAATTGTTGTGTTATTAATTTTTTGACACTAGAAATATGTGATATGACTGCATGTAAGCTAAGCATTTTATGCATTTTCATCTGCATCCAGATCTTCAGTGCTTCATCTATCCTGAAGCTATATAGCATACACTAAGAATACAAAAAAATTCAAATTCAGAGAGAGAAAGAGAGAGAGAGACAGACAGAGAGACAGAGAGACAGAGACGAGAGATTGATGCTATCACTTGATTTTGAACCTAGTCTGAGACATACCAGGTGCAAAGCCATACACTGGCTTCCGATTACCAATAAAATCAAATCTTAAGTTCTCATCACAGCCGAAAGGATCCTTCCTCATCAATCTCTGGCTACCTCTTACTTACTGTCATTTATTTTGTTCGCTCAGCCCACGTGCGTTCTTGCTGTTCTTCAAAGACCCTCAGTTTGTTTCTGGCCCTCAGCCTTTTCCCTTGATGCTTTCCTCTGTCTAGAGCACTCTTCTCTCAGACATTTACCCTCTCATTCCCTTCTTATCTCTATGCAAAGGCCACCTCCTCAGGCATTCTCTCTGGGATTGCTATCTTGTCCTCTCTGGCCCATTGTCTTGCCTTATTTTGCTTTAAAGGAGTAGCATGACTTGATTAATTTATAATAGTGCACATACATGTAAAATATACTAATATATATGTATATAAAATGTACTACATATAGTATATCATCACTAATAGTACATAGTGCAAATAGTGTTTCATAATATGGTGCACTTATTTGTTATTTGTTTAGCTTCCCTGTTGTCCAAATGGTGATGTCAGTTCCACAAAGGGATGGGTGATATTTTGCTTTTAGCTATAACTCTGGTACATAGTAGATATTGATTAAATGCTTATTGATTGAATGAATAAAATCAATTAGATAGTATTTCCTGGCTTATTTATTTACTTAATTCATTCATAATTACCTTTATGAATCTACTACAAGCCTAGGAACTAGAATATTAGCAGAAACTGTTGTCTGCTTCTGCTGGCTAATTCCTCTACCATTCACATTTCTTCCTCCAGCTAATGATATGTATTCTGAATTTTGTGCTATAATTCTCTTCCTTTTAAAGTATAGATTTATTCTATAATTATGTATCTAAAACTATATAGTGTTTAGAATACATTGTTTCATTTTTTATTTCAAGTGTCATTTAAAAAGAGCATTGCATGTAATCTGGACTTTTTCATCAGTTTTATATTTTAAAAATTCATCAGTATCATTTTAAATTATTTTACTTTTATATTTTGATGCATTATTTTATAGATGGCCATTTCCCTTCATTTTCACAGTTATGTGGCTGGATTCCATTTTGTGACTCTACCACAATTCATTTTCACATTGTGTCAAATGAATGTTCTAGGTTGGTCCTCACTCAAGAGTTGAAAACCTCTGACAGAGTCTCTAAGAAATTTGTCAAAGCCACTGAAATATGTAGTGGGAACCAGGGCTCATATTCTGTACTGAGATCCTTCCCAATTTGTGGGGATCTGCTGGGGGCATCATAAGTGCAATGCTCTGCATTCAGGCCTCTTCCTGAGGGGCAGCCTCTTAGCTTTTCAGAGCCAGCTCCCTCCTTCATTCTCACCTGGGAACCCATCTCCATTTATGTTCCCAAAGCAAATATGGTAAAGGAAGAAGTGAATTAGTGACCTAGGCTTGTGCAATTTTAAGTGAAGTCCCCTAAAGACTCAGTGGAAAATTCTTTGTTTTCAGATAGACTCAGGAGTTGGTGAGCCAGACCCTGGTCCCAGGATTGCTATTCTCCTATATTGGCTCAACTCCATATTCATGGTTCTTGCTTGGAGAGCTGCACTGCTGTTCTCTCCCGAGGTCTACTTTTTCCATAGAAATAGTCTCTTCCATGCAAAGCAGCCCAGTTTGTAGTCTTCTCCAGATTTTCCAGTCTCATTTCTTGAATTATGAGAGCCTCTCTTTCCCCAAAATGATTGCTGGGACCTGAGAACATCTGGACCCTCCACTGCGGAGCCTCCCTTGTCTGCTCAGAACTCCAGGGCATGTCATTCTTGCACTTGTGCCAGAAGCCGTTTGGATTATGGAGACAGGTGCTTCCTTTAAGATGCACATCAGGAATTAGCCTCCCCTATAGTCAGGATGAATTCTCCACATGTCTGAAATAAATGGCTTAAATTAGGGGTGGGATTTGTGACCAAAAGCCAGAGAGTCTCCATGCACTAAAAACTCAAGTGATATAATTGGAGGCAAAAATGATCATATGTAATATCTACATAACTGTGAAGCAGGGTCACATATTGTTGGAGAGAATGCACATCAGCAAGTATTTTGGAGAACAATTTTATAGTGTGCATTCTTAAGGCATTCATAGATTTTGATCCTGTGTATTCATTTGTGGAAACATGTTAAAAGAGATCATTTTAAACATAGGAAAACTTTATGCAGAAAGATATTAAGTATAGTTTTATATAGATAAAAATGTAATGATCAAAATCTATTAGAATAATAAAAATTAATTATGTACATCTATTAAAATAATAGTACTAATCTTAAAACTCTTGTGCTAACTGAAAAAAATTGATGCTATGTTAGATGAACAAAAGTAAATTATATGTTATAATAACTATTGTATAAAACAACATATTTCCCTCACTATCTGTGCTAAGAAATAAAGTTAGTAGAAATCCTCTAAAAAGTTAATAGTGGTAGAATTATATCTGTCTCCTAGTCTTCAAGTTTTTCCATATTATCCTTTGGAATATATATCACTTTTACAGGGAGAAAAAATAACCAAAGTAAAATAAATCAAACATGACACCTTGTCAATTATGAATACAAATAAAAGATATACAGTGAAGAGTGAAAAAAAATCAGCCTCAAAGAGCTTTAAACTGCCTCCTTCCCTGCATAGATCTCTCACCCTGTTGAGATCAGAGCA